CAGCCTAAATACATCCAGGTTGAGCCTGAGGACTTGCTCAGAGGCGTGCGTGAGAGAGAGGGAGGGAGGGAGGGAGGGAGGGAGGGAGGGAGGGAGGGAGAGAGAGAGAGAGAGAGAGAGAGAGAGAGAGAGAGGAGACGACACGGGACAGGGACACACAGACAACCTGCATCAGCTAGGGGATTAGGGGATGACTGCCATGGGACAGAGGACACTCTGCCACTCTGCTCAGGGAGTCACAGCATGTAAGCTCAGGGTTGAACAGCAATGTAACACCAAAGAGAGCTGACTCGGCATCAGGCCAGAAGCCCACACACAGCCACACAGGCTATCTTGACATGGGAGATGTGGCCAGACATTAAGTGACCTGAACCCCAGGTCAGGGCAGATTGGGTCAGCAAAGGTTGTAGTCTAACACCTGAGAGTGGCGATGGCTTCATGGCACACTGCAGCCCACACGAGTGTCACCTTGTGCCCTGAGACTGCTAGAACATGTCTCTGACATGGCAGACAGACAAGATTCAAGACAAGCACCCAGCAAGAGCAAAGGGCACGCAGGGGCTCTGCACACCACGTGACAAATGTGTCCAGGGAACAGAACAGCCTCAGAGACCCAGGCCCAGCAGATCCTAGGTTTTCATTTCACACAGACTGTGTGAATGGATCACAGGTTCTGTCTTTATACATTTGGAGGCAAAATACCCAATTTGTTCTTTTTTTGTTGTTGTTTTTGCGAGACAGGGTTTCTCTGTGGTTTTAGAGGCTGTGCTGGAACTCGCTCTTGTAGACCAGCCCGGCCTCGAACTCACAGAGATCCACCTGCCTCTGCCTCCCGAGTGCTGGAATTAAAGGCGTGCGCCACCAACGCCCGGCTCCAATTTACTTTTAAGCATTTTTATAGCATTTCACTGGCATGAACTACATTCTTGTGTACCAGCCATGCATCCACAGCTGCAGCCCCCTAGCCTGAGGTAGTTACCTCTTCAGGTGGTTCAGATGAGTAGAACTAACTATCTGCCCTGTGATTGGCTCCTTTCATCCAGCATAACATTCTCAAAGTGGATTTTTTTCAGTTTTGTGGCTGTGTGACAATCCACCTGCTTCGTAGCTGGACCACATTCTATGCACACATTCTTCCCTGGATGCCTGGGAAGTTCCCGCCTCTCACCCATTGTGGACACGGGTGTGCAGTCCCTGTCTGAGCACCCCCTTTCATGCCCTTGGACATCTACCGGAAGTGGAATGGTGATCAAGAAGCCGCTGCAGCTTCGGATCCACCAGACTTTTTTTTACGGGCATTGGTGTTTCCGCTGCTTGTGCATCTGTGTGAAGCTGTCAGATCTTGGGGTTACAAGCAGTTGTGAGTCTCTAGCAGACACAGAGGTCACAGGATGGGCAGAGATGAGCCTGGAGGTCCTGACACAAAAGAATTGTTACACGAGCCACATCTTTTACATCCCATCAACAGACTGATACCATTACTTAAAAATTCACATTTTCGCCGGGCAGTGGTGGCGCACACCTTTAATCCCAACACTCGGGAGGCAGAGGCAGGCGGATCTCTGTGAGTTCGAGGCCGGGCTGGACCGACAGCCTCCAAACAATACAGAGAAACACTGTCTCGTAAAACAAAAAACAAAAAAACCAAAAAATTCACGAGCCGGGCGTTGGTGTCGCACGCCTTTAATCCCAGCACTCGGGAGGCAGAGGCAGGCGGATCTCTGTGAGTTCGAGGCCAGCCTGGTCTACAAAGTGAGTTCCAGGACAGCCTCCAAAGCTACAGAGAAATCCTGTCTCAAAAAAAACAAAAAAAAATTCACATTTTCGGGGCTGGAGAGATGGCTCAGTGGTTAAGAGCACTGGTTGTTCCTCCAGAGATCCTGAGTTCAATTCCCAGCACCCACATGGCAGCTCACAACTGTCTGTAACTCCAGTTCCAGGAGGTCTGACTCCCTCACACAGACATGCATGAAGGCAAAACACCAATGCATATAAAATAAAGATAAATTTTTAAAAAATCACATTTCTGTTGATGGTCACTAAGGAAGGTAATCGGTGGGGTTCTGGGTTCTTTCTGGCTTTGTTGTGCTGTGTGGTTTGTAAAATAAACTCCCCGCCCTGCCAATGACAAACATGTCCTGTGGAGTCTACGAAAACCGCACGCCCTTGACCTGGCCTCTGAGCACCCAGGACATGTCCAAGCCTGGAGGAAGCTTGACAGCAGGGCTAGGCTTCCTGCCCCTCCACTTCCCCAGGAGAGACACTGCAGGTGATGCCCCACCTCTGCCTCAGGGGAGGGAGGCCCCTGCGTAATGTGCACGGACAGCATAAGATGCTTACCACAGCAGCGTCCCTGGAGGCCAAGGCCAGCTGTCTGTCCAGTCTGTCATCGGCAGATGATGTGGCCCTTAAGAACTGGTCTTGAGCCGGGCGTTGGTGGCGCACGCCTTTAATCCCAGCACTCGGGAGGCAGAGGCAGGTGGATCTCTGTGAGTTCGAGGCCAGCCTGGTCTACAAAGTGAGTTCCAGGACAGCCTCCAAAGCCACAGAGAAACCCTGTCTCAAAAAACCAAAAAAAAAAAAAAAAAAAAAAAAAAGAACTGGTCTTGGCAGAGGCCAAGGCCAGCTGTCTGTCCAGTCTGTCATCGGCAGATGATGTGGCCCTTGAGAACTGGTCTTGGCAGAGCTTGCAGGGAGCGTCGCATTTGCGCTGGCGGAAGCAGTGTGACGCTCCTGGCCCCGGGCCCGCCCCGGTGAGCTGGGTTTAGGCTGTAAGACCAGGTGCCACAGGTAAGGCCAGTTACAGCCCATTATTTCCACTCACAGGTGGCTACAGGGTGGAGCTCTGGGAGCCCCCTGAAGTCAGCCTCAAGTCCAGGAAGCCTGCCAAGGAACAGGAAGTTGGGCAGAGCAAAGATGCCGTGCTCCAGGCCAGGGTTCCAGGTCTGCTGCACTGAGAACCACCCCAAGTGTGAGCCGGCTGCACGGCTGCTTTGTGTTCTAGAGGAAGGTCAGGAAGAGGCGTGTGGCTGCGTGGGTGCTGGGGTGGATCCCGTGTACAGGCTGCTGGGTCCAGCAGGCAGGCGCTGGAGAGGACCATGGCAAGGGCGGGGCTATGACCCCACCAGGGAGGCCTAGCGGCCGACAGCTCCTCAGCACCCGTGGTTTCAGTAAGAACGACCCTCGCAGGCTTACTCAAGTCACCAGCCAGTGGCATGATTTGGAAGGACCAGAGGGTTAGGAGGTAGGAGGCGTGGTCTTGTTGGAGGAACTTTGGGGGAGCTCTGAGGCTTCAAAAACCCATGTCAGGCCCAGGCTCGCTCTCTGCCTATGGATCAGGATGTAGCTCTCCAGAACTGCTGACTGCACAGTGAGTCTGGTGAAAAGACACGTGATGAAGGAGATAAGCCCAGTGTGTGTGAGCCTAGGCCTGTGACACTCCCTGCCCCAGCCATTCCTGAGGCTCCCATTGTTAGAATCCAGGCAAACCTGGCCCCGCCTCTCACCTACCTGTGCACGGCAGGTGTCTGTACCCTGGCTCTTTTTTAGAAAAAGTCCACCCACTCCTGTTCTCCCCATCCCCTTCCTCTAAAGGGCAGACAGGACCTTTCCTGTCTACCCACCCCTTTTCTTCTGTCCTGTCTCTTACCTCTTTTCCCTCAATAAAACTTTCAATGAGTCATGTCTACTGGTCTCTGTTTCCCCATCCACCCACCATCCATCACCCACCCCAGGACTGCAATCCCCAAGGTCCCACCATGGGACCAGGGACCTGCCACTTGCCGTCCCAACCAGTTATGCTTTATTCCTAACACTCATCGGCTCACTGGCTGCTGCACGCCACCATGCCCCCTGGGAGCCCTCAATTCATTAGTTGCCGTGGTCATGGTGTGTCTTCACAGCAATTGAAAAGACAGTGTCCGAGCACTGTGCCAGAGCCTCCTGCTTGCTGAGTCCTAAGCCTGGGAGGCTGCAGAGGTAAGCACCCAGAGCCGCTGCCCCAACACTTGGGTGGAGAGTAACAAGATCTTAGCACATACACTTCACCCCAACTACGACACGCTGAGGCCGCAAGGTACCTATGGGGCCTACGAATATTTAAAGGTCATGATCACTCAGGTTGCTTGGTTTCCCAGCAAGCAGTTCAAGTGGGCAGCCACAGGCTCCCGGTCCTGATGTTCTGTTGTAACAGTGCCAAAGCTAACTATCTTTGAAAGGGCCAAATGTGTCTTCACTCCTAGGAAAGGCTGCTGTACTCCTCCCAGCTGAGCTCGGTGACATGCAGGAAGGAGAGGAATTCCAGGACACCGAGGGGAAGTGAAGATCTACCTTGTCCTGTGCGAATCCAGCCTGACATGAAGAGAGGCGGATGGGCTCTGTTTAAGTTGTGCTCAAGGGTTTTGCCTCCTTTCACCCTGACTGGTGGGGCTGCTGGTGAGGCCAAGTCGGGAAAAGCACCACCACATGCAGCCTGTGGGGTCTCTGGAATGGCTCGCGGTAGGTAGTGGGCACAGGCTGAGGCACTTCTAGGACTTGTTCCGTTTTATGAATCTAGTGTCTTAAGACAGATCTTCCTGTGTAGCTCAGCTATGTGGAAGTGTCCTGCCTCTGCCTTCCAAGTGCAAGATTCCAGTATGTGTCGCCACCAGGCTACCCTGACCCACTTTCCACCGCACTGACAGATGTTCTGAAACTGACCACTGTCCGTTTACAGTGCATCTTTCATGTGCATCACCTGGGTCTGCATCCTGAAAGGAATCCACCTGCAAAGCCCAAGGTGGAGGGTGAGGTGACGTGCTCCCAGCAGCCGTTTCAGGACAGGAGCTGAAAGCGGGCCCTGCCCTCAGGGCCTCAGTGATGAGCCAGGCTGGCCTGTGTAAAGCATCAGGGCTCTGCCTCCTAGCACAGGGGAGGAAAGGGGGAGTGTTTATGGCAAACTGTTCTAGGGCCACATGGCTGTATCTGGCAAGGAGACGGAAGGAAGAGACCGTGAGAGGGTGTCCACTGTGACATCACTCAACAGTTTTATTAGTTGACCTGGCCCTGTGTATGGCCATGCTCCCTTCATGCTGCTTCCAGACCTGCCCACGCTGAGGCCAAGCCCTGCTGGGCCCCCAGTGAAGCAGTCACCGTCACTACCAGGGAGTGTGGTGGGCCAGGACTGTGACTCCCAGAACCTCTGACAGGGCCACCCAGCACATGTGCCCTTGGGAGGATGGGTTAGTCTCGTGAACCCATTCATGTAAAGAAAAAAGCGTCCTCCGCTGGGTACATCAGAACCACCCAGAGCCTGGGAGCCCGCAGCTTGGGTCCTCTCAGTCCTCAGCAAAGCAGGAAGGACAGACATCAGGCTGAAGTCCTGACTACAAGGAAACAGGCAGGGACTCCTGCTGTGAGCACGGCATCCGTCCTTCCACAGCATCTGTCCTTCTGTCTAGGAATCACCAGAGGCTGCTGCTGGGCCTTCACTGCATGCCAAACCACTGCTCTTGGTCAGCCCACTGGGCGGCCTCACTGTCACTGCCCTCCAGGTCCCCTTCTTCCCCACTGCCCTCCATGTCGTCCACATCTTCCTCCTGCGTGGCGTCCGTGGGACTCTCCTCCTTCTCCATCTTCTGCATGCCCTCTAAAGACTTCTGGTCATTGGGGTCCAAACTAAGGAACAACAAAACAAAGGGGAGGCTGAGTTTCTGCCTTGCTCCTTGGACTGCTTTGTCACCAAGCTGGCCCGGCGGTCAGACCCTAGGGTCAGAGATGATGCAGATGATTGTGGCTTCCAAGGCTAGATCCAGGGAGTCCATCAGAGCATTAGGAAAAGGGGCATTGCCCTAAGTTTTAGAAATTGTAACTTGAGGGGGCTGGAGAGGCGGCTCGGCAGTTAAGAGCACTGGTTGCTCTTGCAGAAGACCTAGGCTCAGTTCCCAGCACCCACATGGTAACTCATGACCACCTGTGACCCCAGTTCCCAGGTATGCCACCCTCTTCTGGCCTCTGTGGGAACCAGGCGCACATGGTGCACAGACATATGCAGGCAAAACACCCATACACAAAGTCACTAAAAAATGGCTAACATTGCAATTAAAACTCTTAATTTAAGTTTCCCCCCACAAAGGCCTTCAACCTTCTCCCAGCCACCCCTAGTACTATGCTGGCGGCAACAGCCGCACACGGGGGTAGGAAGGGAGGAGGGAGGAAGGACCAAGGTACACAATCAGCCTTGGATACAGCCTGCCTCAAGGAAAAGAGTTACACTTCTGCGAGTGATACTGGGATATTGTTCCATGTTATCTAAGGACTGCAGTTAACTAAAGCCCTCATGCTTTACCATGGGACTTGATTTTAAGTCTCAAACATAGACCAAGGCATTTTTATCAGTAGCAACCCCACAAAGCTGGGAGGTCTAGAATCCTCATTTAATTCTGCTAATGTACTTTTGGAAAATATGTCACAAGTCATGAATCCACAAACTTCTCTCTTCTATTCTCGGCCTACCTCCAGCTAAGGGCACAGCATGTGTGAGCCTGCTCTACCTTCATGCCCTCCCCACAGGAGGCTGAGCACCCACCTGAGTGCTATACTGTACTGGTCCATTGCTTCCTGGTACTCATTCACAGCCACCAGGAAGTCCCCCAGGATCCGATGCAGGACACAGTCGCTCTGATTGGCCAGGGCATTCCTCAACAGAGCAATTCCGTCTTCATATTTCTGTTCCCTGCCTACAGAGAAAGACATCTTCACTGCTTGGCCAGTGCACACTTATTTTTTTCCCAGACAGGGTTTCTCTGTATTGTCTTGGAGGCTCTTCTGGAACTCGCTCTGTAGACCAGGCTGGCCTCGAACTCACAGAGATCCTCCTGCCTCTGCCTCCCGAGTGCTGGGATTAAAGGCATGCACCTCTACCGCCTGGCTCAGTGCACAACTTAAGAGAGACACCCTTAAAGGGGACTGCAATGTTCATGAGGGGCATGTACATGTGGTCTTTATTTCATTGGGAAATTGGCATAATGAGTACTGAGTCTTTCAAAAATGTTTTATTACATTAATTTATGTGAAAAGGGGTGAGCATACCATAACATGAGTGGAGGTCAGAGGGCAATTTGTAGGAGTTGGTTCTGTCCTATCATGTGGGTCCTGAGGAATGAACTGAGGTTGTTAGCCTTGGTGGCACCTTTACCTGAGCCATTGAGTCTGTGCCCTGACACACGCCTTTAATTCCAGCACCAGGGAGGCAGACAGATCTCTGTGAGTTTAAGGCCAGCCTGGTCTACACAGAGCGAGTTCCAGAACAGCTAATGCTGTTACCCAAAAAAAAAAAAAGCCAAATTCAGTTTTATTTCCTAAACCAGCACAAATACAGGAGTTTCTCATGCATCAGAACAAATGCTTTGGAATCCAGATGCCAACATGAAGGCCAGCACCAAATGAGACACTGGCCCTGTACTAGAGCCACAAGCACAACAGCCTTTTCATAGCATCATATAAACACATGATCATGCTAGGGGCAAGAACAAAGCTAAGAGAAGGTCAGAAGAATCCAGACAGCTCACAACAGTTCAAACAGACTAAAATCAACTGTACTCAACTTAAACTAGTTCAAAACTAATCCAGAGACGAGCTGAGCAGCTACCAAGTGATTTTAGCTCGTTTGAACCAATCTAAGCAGGACTAAGCCATGACTGGTAGTGATCTGTGTAAAGCACTCGTCTAGCAGGCGCAGACCTGCTCTGCCATCTTAAGCGTGCCCCCAGAGACGAGGGTCACAACAGCCACAAAGAACACCCCAGTATGTGCACTCACTGAGCAGCTCCGCTTTCTTCACCACGGCCTTGACATAGTCTGGCCTCTGGGCCAGCGCTTTATCTAACAAAGTTTTGGCTTTCTCCTGTGTCACGGGGTCTTCCAGACACACGGTGGCTAACAGGGTAAGAGTCTGTGCGTTTGCACCTAGAGTTTTGTAAACATTGTTGGCCATCACCATGGCTTCTCGAATGCTGTTAGAAGCTAAGTAACATTCTATGAGACCTGAAAAACAAAGCAGAGACACTGTACCGCAGGCCGGCCCCAAGCCCCTCACCGTGCTCTGCCCTGAGCCAGCAGTACCCACCCTGCAGCACCTTCCTCTATTTGTTGTTGTTTTTTGTTTTTCGAGGCAGGGTTTCTCTGTGGCTTTGGAGGCTGTCCTGGAACTCACTCTGTAGACCAGGCTGGCCTCGAACTCACAGAGATCTGCCTGCCTCTGCCTCCCGAGTGCTGGGATTATGGGTGTACACAACACCTTCCTCCATTCTATAATGATTCAATGGGGCTGCAAATGACCCAGCATAGCCTCTGACTATATAAGCAGATTTTTATTCCTTCCAACTTCAAATTTTTCTCTTCAAACTTGAACTCATCTTCCTGTTACGAGACAGACTACTGAGCTTATTTTTAAACTCTTATAAAAATGTTTTAGAGGAACAGAATCTTGTAAGAGCTATTTCAGTGTCGGTGACTCAGTCACCAAATGTTGCTAAACCTGACAGTCTGCGAGGCTACAGCAACATCCTGTCTCAAAAAAATATTAATAATAAAATTTAAAAAGAAATCAACCAAGCAATCAATGCAGGAGAGACTCTGTCTGGGTTTTAAAAGTGCTCTTCCCCGGCCACCACAACTCTAACACACAACTCAGCTGGGAGGTTTTGACCTAACAAAACTGTCACCTGTTGGAGCTGTCACGCCCACAGAGTCACACTGGCAGTTTCCTGTCTTACCTTCGTAACAGTCTAAGCGACAAGGTGCAAGCCTTATAGCCTCCCGGAAATGTATTATAGCTTCCTGGACTCTGCCCATGTTCCTAAGTGCCGCTCCTTTGAGTAGCAAAGCTTGGACGCTGTTGCTGTTCAGCTGAATGGCCTTGGCGCCCAAGTACAGAGCCCGAGAGTAGCGCTTGCTATAGAAGCTATGGCACCTAGGGAAAAAAACAGCACAAGTTATGAAAGAAACCTCAATGCCAGGCTGGGTGGCAAATTCCTATAATAGACTGTCATTAAAAACAAAACAAAATGCTGTCCAAATGGTTCAGGGGGTAAAGGTGCTTGCAGACAAGCCTGATGACTTGAGTTCAGTTCCTAAGACTTACACATGTGTGTCAGGTGTTGACACATCCACACACAATACGTAAAATGAAATATAAATGTTTTTAGAAATCTTCATCCGCAATCAGAGAAAGCCAGTTACCAATTATGCTTCCAGCTACAACCCAGAGATCAGTAAAGAAGCAAAACAAAACAAAAACATAAACCAACTAAGCATACCTCCAAGGGGCATCTCACACAGCCATGGTCAGGCGCTCCAGGACCCCTGGCATGCGCAAGGTGGAGTCAAGAGGCTCAGAAATCAAACTGCAGTGAATACTAAGTGACCAGAGTGCTTGGTCACAAATGGGATAACTATGTCGCATCCCCCTTCTGAGGGATCATTGTGGAAGAGGGCAAAAAGTGTCTAAGAGGCAGAAGTCCTGGAAGACTGGAGCTAAACAGTGTCTTCTGGACCCACCAGCTGTGGTGCCTGCAAAGAATCAGCATTCTGGCATGGAAGGGGATGGGGTTCATGAGATCCCACCCCTAAATGAGGACCTAAGGACAATTAATGGCTTTCGAAAAAGGAAGAGTCCATTTTTCTTTAGTCTGGCTCCTGCAGGTAGACTATAATCCATTGCATTGCTCTATACTCATATGTAAATGGAGAGCACAAACTGGGGTCAAAGTTTATTAAATAAAAAAGAGGAGGGGGCTCATCTGTTAAGAGCACTGGCTGCTCTTCCAAATGACCTGGCTCAACCCCCAGCACCCACATGGCAGCTCATAACTGTCTGTAATTCCAGTTCCAGAGATCTTACACGCCCCACACAGACATACATGTAGGCAGAACAACAATGTACATAAAATAAAAAAAAAATATTAAAAGAAAAAAATAAGAAAGCGAATATCAAGTTGGGGAAGAGGTAGGCAAGAATTGATTTCATAGGAATTAAGAGGAGGCCTTCGAAGTGAGTATGATCAAAATACAATGTTTTTGAAGAATTAAAAAAAAAGTATAAGAAGTCCAAGGCCAGCCTCAGCTACATGAGACTCTCTTAAAAAAAAAAAAAAAAAAAAAAAAAAAAAAAACGAAGGCCAGCCTAGCATGGTGTTACACAGGATGATCTTTTCTGATTTCAAGTTAAGCCTTGTCTACATATTAAGATCTAGGACAGCCAGGGCTACATAGACAGACTCTGTTTCAAAATAACAACATGAGCTCTTTGGTCTTGGCAGCAGAAACAAAACGAGGAAAGATGATGAAAGTGTTACGTAGTTAAACAACATAGTAATAACACTGCTGTAACTCTAATGCTTACCACCTTCAGAAGTCGACCTATGCCCAAAACAATACAGAGAAACCCTGTCTTGAAAAACCAAAAAAAAAAAAAAAAAAAAAAAAAAAAGAAGTCGACCTATGGCAAATACAGCTCCCTGCCAAGCACCAAGAGAAAGTATAACTAGAGTGACAAGACTAAGAAAAGAAACACTACTGAGATTGGCCAATGAGGTTACCTAAACATTATCTATCACAGATTAAGACATAGATTCTGTGGTGCAGGGCTTTAATTCCAGCACTCAGGAGGCAGAAGTAGGCAGATCTTTATGAGTTCCAGGCCAGCCTGTTCTACAGAGTGAGTTCCAGGACAGACAGGGGTATACAGAGAAACCCTGAGCTTTATAAACCAAAACAAACAAACAAAAAAACAAAGCAAAAACCAATAAACAACTCAAGGGGCTGGAGAGACAGCTCAATACTTAAGAGCACTTGTGCTGTTCCCGCAGAGAACTAGCCTTTGATGCCCAGCACTGACATGACGACATGACAGCTCACAGCCATCCAGGGAATCTGATCACACCCTCTTCCACTACACAGGCACCAGATACTCATGTGGTACAAAGACAGACATGCAGGCAAAAACATCTGATCACACACAAAAAAAAAACTAACAGAAAACATTAAAGGACTTGAAGGACATCAGGCTAGCATCCTTATAAAGCCATCTTGTCACCATAGTTTTATTTCCATCTGTGTGAGGTCAGTGCTGACAGCTCTCCCTCTGAATGAGGCCTACTAAACACAACGCATCATCTCTGTTCTTAAGCTTGAAGTCCAGATCATTACCCTGATCTCAAAATCAGAAAACATTCAGAAGAGTCAATAAATGTTGTCAGGGACCTCCAGCCATCAGTCAGCTAGGCTGTATCACGTACTCATAGAGAAGATGTGACACTAAGACCACCCTGCCACCCCTTCTGTCATAAAGCAAATTCCAAGTAACAAGCCTGGGGTTTACCAGTCAGTTAAAGATTAGCTTAATTGGAAAAACTACAAGGTCCTCAGAAGATAGGCCTGAGCAGTAGTAAATTGTAATAGATAGGATCGGATCCTGCTGTCAGGTTAGCAAGCAACATAGGAGTTCCTACCCCTGACCTCTTGCCCTGTAGATTAGGTAGCCAGGCAACGCAGCAGATCACCTCTCCCACTGACCTCTTGCCCCTGCAGCTGCAAGCACACCTTCCCCCCTTCCCTCCTTAGTTCTCCTATATAAATCCCCTTGTGATGAAATAAAGTTGTCGCCTTGATCAGAATCCTGTCTTGGCGTCCATTCCTGTATCCCCTGTCCTCCATCTTTCTCCTAGGTGTCCACCAGACCCACGTTGAATGTCCTGCGGGTCGGGACAAAATGCCTGCCCAAAGTCACAGGCATATCCTGGTTGATTCAGGTCTCATGACTGTGATTTCAATTTATATTCTCTTTTTGTTTAAAAAAAAAAAAAAAACAGAGACAGGGTTTCTCTGTGTAGTTTTGGAGGCTGTTCTGGAACTCTCTCAGTGAACCAGGCTGGTCTTGAACTCACAGAGACCTGCCTGCCTCTGCCTTCCCAGTGCTGGGATTAAAGGCGTTCGCCACCACCGCCCTCTCTTTTTGTTTAAAGACATGGTCTTAACTATGGGGCCCTGACTGACTGTAATTTGCTATGTAGACTAGGCTAGCCTTTAACAGATATCTACCTGCTTCTGCCTCCTGAGTGATAGGAATAAAAGCTTGCACCACTACTATTCCTGGTTCAACTTACATTCTCTTAAAGAGAAAAAATAATCTTTTTAAAAAATAGACTGGAAATTGGATAGAAACTAGGATGAATAAGCATACCCAGAGACCACCCAGGGTTCTGCATGCTGATCAGAAATGTTGAAAAGGCGGCAGCCAAGGTTTTCCACATCCTCCAGCCGCCCTTCTCGTGCCAGGAGGTAACCGTAAACATCCATTCCTGAAAGAAAGGACACAGTAAAAAGAGGCTTTTCTACCAAAGAGGGAAAGGCCCTCAGAAAAGGCAAAGGAGGCAGGAGAAACAGATCAGCAGTTAAGAACATCCTTGCAGAGGTTCGGGTTCAGTCCCCAGCATCCACGTGGAGGCTCACAACCAAATGTAACCCAGTCACAGGGATCTATGTGGTCTCTGAGGAAGCAGGCATGTACGAGGGTTACACTCACACAGAAATTTAACAAGAAGCCCAAAAGGCCCACGAAATGCCTCTGTGGGTTCAATCTCTGGGACCCACATGGTAGACTGCTTCCCCAAAGTTGCCCTCCGACACTTTGTGTGCATGTGCCCGCTCACACACACACAAATAATTTAAAAAATTAAATAAGCTGGGGTGGGGGTGACACATGCCTTTAATCCCAGCACTCAGGAGACAGAAGCAGGAGGATCTCTGTGAGTTAGGCCAGCCTGGTCTACAGATGCAGCTAGTTGGGAGAGTGTTTGCCCAGCATGCACAGAGCTCAGGGTCAGTTTCTAGCACCACGTAAACTGGGATGGTGGCACAGGCCAATAATCCCGGCATTTGGGAGCTGGAAGCAGGAAAAGCAGAAGTTCAAGGTCAACCTCACCTACAAGAGACCTCCTCTCTGAATGACTGAATTAATAAACAGCAAACCATTGAAAACAAGAAAGGTTCTCTTCTGGCTTCAGGAGGCTCCTGCACACACATGCTGAACATAAACTTGCAGGCAGACACCACACACAAGAAAGAACGAAAGACGGAGAGACAGGTAGGCACAGGAGCAGCAGGTCCTACATCACAATTGGAAACCCTGTCACGCCAAGGTCTGTCCCTAAATCTGTAGTGTGGTAAACTACATCCCAGAAAAGGCCCCCAAAAGGCATCACATAACGCTGTGATGCCTAAGAGCTCTCACCCATTTCATGATTACTATGTTGAAAACACCCAGTCTCACATAAACAGACAAATGGTTAAAATGGCCTGGCCTATGTCCCAAAAAGCTGCTGTTTTATTCTAGAATGTAGTTCATCATGGAATGCCACCTGTCTTCCACTTAAACCCTCCCAAGTCCTTTTCATCCGTTCCCTGTGGTATCTAAGGGCCCATGCTGACTCTCACCACCTCCACCTACTGCTCTCCTTCCTTACCATCCCTTCCAATTCCCAGGCCTCTCCCAGCAAGATTACAGCTATACTCCTGCTGGTCTGGGCTTTGGATGTAAGTATCAAACTCCAGGCTACCAATGCCACTAGGCTAGCATTTGTAAAACACTGTATTCTCTTTCTTTTTTATTATTATTTTTGTTTATGTTGTTGCTGATTTTTTATTCTTCCAGACAGGAAATATCTCTGTGTATCTTTGGCTGTCCTGGAACTCGCTCTGTAGACCAGGCTGACCTCGAATTCAGTGATCCACCTGCCTCTGCCTCCTGAGTGCTAGGATTGAAGGCATGCGCTACCACTGATGGCTTCTCTCTGTATTTCTTTGGTGGTGGGTAGGTCAAAGGCAGAGTTCCCAGCAGTCCACAATGACCAGATGAACTTGAACTGCTGACCTTTCTTTTTCTACCTCCCAAGTGCTGGGATTACTAGTGCAGTGTGAAGAGGAATAAACACCAGACAGGGGAAGACCCTGTACAAACAGTCTCTAGACTGTTGCCACATCTGACTACTTGGGAAGGTCCCTTCATACTCAGTCATCCTTTTTGTTTGGTTGAGTCAGGGTCTCACTGTGTAGCTAGCCTTGACCTCACAGTCCTGCTAGTATTTGGAGTGTTAGAATTATTTTTTACTTATTCTTTGTTTACTACCCCAAGGCATGTTCTTCTGTTGGCCTCTGTTGAGTCTTTATGATCTCACCTCCCTCTATTCCTGAGCACTGAACTTTTCAAACTGCTGGCCTCCCCCACCTCTCAAACCACTATGCCTTGTTCCTTCACCTGCTTCCAGATCAGTGGCTGCTCTGCCAGCTCTGAAGACACTTTAACCCCTTTGTCCTGTTCTTAATGTCTGTCCCCCACTTCTTTGTAATTACACTAAGGACAGAGTAAAACCAAAGTCCCTAAAAGGACATTAGGGCTCTGCAGATGCCTCCAGTCAGCCACACCATAAATTATAATTCATGGGGGAGGGGGCACGATACCCCTTAAAAGAAAAAAGCTAAGCAATGGTCTAAGAGGAGAAAACACTTGAATTCAAATCAAACAACCTCTCAGAATAGTATTAGCTATGTGTTAGAGACATTCGCCAGGCCAGGGAAAGGACTGCTACAGCAAGTGAGCCTCTCAGAGGCTGTCCACCCGGGAGGTGGAAGCAGCAGAATCAAGAACTCAAAGCTGGGTTCAAGGCTAGCCTGGGCTACATGAGACCCTCTCTTCAAACAATAAAAAACAAGGGGCTGAAGAGATGGTTCAGCTGTTCATCTGACCTTAGTGGATTCCTGATGGGAGAAGTCCTGTATATATGTCAATAAAGCACTGTTGGCCAATAGGGAAGCAAGATAGGTGGGACTAGGAGTCGAGGAGGACTCTGGGTAGGAGAAACACAGGGATTCACAATGTAACCGCCATAGAGGTAAGAAGCCCAGACACTTTCCTCCGGTAAGAGTAAGTCAGAGATAGCCAGTAAGAAACAAGCAAGGCCAACAGCTTCATAATCAGTACAGCATCTTGTATGTTATTTGGGGACTACAATATGGCAGAGCCCAGGCGACTGGTGGGAAAAAACCAAAGCGGCTGACAAGAAAAAGGCATCTCTCTACAGAGATGAGTCATAACTTCAACTCCTGGGGAATCCAAGGACACTGGACTCATGTGTACATACCCACACACAGACACATTTACACATAATTAAAATAAGCCTAGAAGCAACAACAATAACAAAAACCGAAACATGCCAGGTGCCAATGCCACACTCTGCCTTTCTTAGTTGCCCTTTACAAACACTCTCTGGCCCCAGGGTTCACCTTTTATCAGATAGGGATCCAACATCTGCGCCTGCTCAAACTTGAGGACGGAGTTCTTACTGTCTCCCGCTCTGAAGTACAGGTCTGCCAAGCTCCCCAGCAGGTCCACGTTGTCTCTCAGTAAGGATTTTTTCTCTAGTGAACTTAAAAGATATTAAATACTAAACCCTTAGAATTTGTTACAAAGCTTTAATCATTGCATTTGGGGGGTGGGCATATAGACAACATTCTTTTCTCTATGTATATTTTTCACAAATAGGTTTTTGGGGTTTTTTGTTTGTTTTTTGAGGTAGGGTTTACTACATTATCCAGGTTGGCCTTGAACTCATGATCCTCCTACTTCTACCTCCCAAGTTCTGATATTTATACTCAGGCACTACAACTTTTAGCTATAAGAATTATTAAAACAAATTTTGATGAGCCAGCAAGATGGTTCAACAGGTTAAGGGCAGCGCCTGCCACTAAGCCTGATGATCTGGGTTTGATTCATGGGACCTACGTGGTAGAAGAGATCGGACTCCTTTAAGTTGTCCTTTGACCTCTATACAAGCATATGTGCCCATAAACAGTAAATAAATACAAATGTAATTTTAAAAACTTCTAAAATGACCTAGGTACAATGGTCAGTTTTACATAGGGGCTGGAGCAAAGCTCAGTGGTTAAGAACATCAGATGCCCCTCAGAGGACTCATGTTCAATTCCCAGCACTAGCACAGCAGTTTTCTTCCACAACTTCAGTCCCAGGGAACCCAATGCCTCTTCTGGTCCTTGTGCCTACTAGGCACACACATGGGATATAAATGTACATGCAGACAGAACAACCATACACATAAAATTAAATAAAATGGTTTAAAGTTATATAATGAAATGGTTGTGTGTGTGTGTGTGTGTGTGTGTGTCTGTCTGTCGTGTCTGTCTGTCTGTCTGTCTGTCTCAAATATAACACTTAAATCTACAAAGAACTTTCTGGTTATGGTTTTCCTTTTTTTTTGTTGTTTTTTGTTTTTTAGACAGGGTTTTAATATGAAGCTCTGACAAGCCTGCCTCTGCCTCCTGAATATTGAGATTAAAGATGTGCACCACCATGCCCAGCAAGGTCACAGTTTTTAAGAAGAAAACATACAATACATGATTTTATATGCCATTCACAAGTGACAGCTACTAAAGATTGGGAAAAAAAATACAGCTTTTTGTGCTAGGACTTGGAACAGAAAGAAACCCCACTCGCTGTCAGGTGTTACAATAAACATATCTATCTTGCAAACAAAAAGGCGAACACGCCAGCCACAGCAGGTTGCTCTGACCGTGGTCATCTTCACATCAACACAGCTTTCCATTTTTACAGGTTCCAACAGTTTGTTGCATCTGCAAGCATTAAGTGCATTAGAAAACATTGCACAAAGATGACTGACTGCAATGCCAAGCAGTAAGCATCCACCTTTTCTGATTTACCAGAGATCCATCAGCTCTCCAGACAAGAAAAGGGCCTTAAGATCTTTGGATTAACTCAGACTTGGTGGCTCATACCTATAATCCCAGCACTAGGGATACTGATGATGGAAGACTGAGGTCAATTCAAGGGCAAGCCAGGCTATGTAGTAAGATGTTACATATTTCAGACCATGCCACCCAGCAAAACCACCAGAGTTGACATCTTGGCTCTCACCAGATGGTGCTGATTGCTCTTGAGTTGTCTCCAGTGTGCACAAAAGCATAGGCTTTAATCCACACAGACAGCCAGTCCAGGTTGGGCACGGTCTGGATTACATTCATCGTCATTGATGCCACCTCTGCACCTTTTACAGAAAGAGATAACAAACCTAACCCCCCCCAAAGCAAGAGAAAGGTGAGGCATAGCATCTTTCTCCCACAGTGCAACAAAAACAGGCTGACACAGCTGCCTTCCCCATCTAAGCAAGATGCGCACAACAGAGAGGTCAGAGCCTCAGTATGCTAAGCACATGTGTCACTGAGCTATACCCTAGCCCTAAAAGACAGGTATTACCCTTTATTTCAAAGCTGACAATATTCGGAATGTTATTTTGTTTTTTTTTTAATTTATTGTGTATACAGCCTTCTGCCTGCATGCCAGCAGAGGGCACCAGATCTCATTTAAGGTGTTTGTGAGCCACCATGTGGTTGCTGGGAATTGAACTCAGGAACCTCTGGAAGAACAGTCAGTGCTCTTAACCACTGAGCTATCTCTCCAGCTCCTTCGGAATGTTTTAAAGCTATTCTAGGGCTGAAAAAATGGCTCAATAGGTAAGAGCATTTGTTGTTCTTGCAGAGGATCCAGGTTTAATTTCCAGAACCCAAAAGATGACTTAAAACTATCCCCAACTCCAGCTCCAGGGGCTTCAATGCCCTCTTCTGTCCTCTATGGCACACACGGCTCACACAAGCACACACATGGTTCACAAACATACATATAGGCAAAACCCTCATTGACAAAAATAAAATTAAAATCTAAAAGAATGTCCTACTCTATCTAATGCATACTCATTGAGAAAATCGTCTTTGACTGCAAATACCCCAGACAAGAGGCACAAAGCTTTCTGTACCTAGAATGGCGTCAAGGGCCAAGGGGCACTGCCGGAGGACCTCCTTATAGCTGGTGACTGATGGGCGTTCCTGACCAGCCTTCTTGTACAGGTTCGCCAGCATCATGTTTATCTACACACAAAAAACAAAGGACAGTAAAGCAAGTGTGTCTTCAAAGGAAGTACTTCACCATGAGCAAGCTCTGCTTTGTATTCCCAACTACTGCTCTGCACAGCCCTGTGCAAATAAAGACCGACTCCATTCCTCGAAACATACAACTATTATTATCCTTGCCTTTCCTGGTTCTGTTATCCTCTTTATATCTAAACCAAAGATGCTGCCTCTGGGATTAATAGAGACCTAGAATTTTAGTTACTTTGATTTTTCCTGTTAAGATGAATAACTCCAGAAGTGCTCGAGCTGATGTATTTTAGAGATTTTTGTGTTTGTTTTTGCTTTAAGACAGTCTCACTGTGTAGCTCTGGTTGACCTGGAACACATAAAGATCTACCTGTATCTTTTAAGAGTGTGTGTGTGTGTGTGTGTGTGTACACTAGTACAGATGCCCACAGAGGCCAAAGGAGTTAGTTAGATTACTCTGGAGCTAGAGTAACAGATGGTTGTGAACCATCTAACATGAGTGTTGGGAACTGAACTCAGGTTCTCTGGAAATGTTTGAGTATGCTCCTAACTGCTGGAGCCATCTTTCCAGCCCAATTTAATACTAATACAAAAGAAAGTGAAGTAGAAAAGAGTCCCTGGGTGGTGGTGGCTCACTGCAGGGAGCCATGAGGTGTAGCCGTCATTCCAAGATGGCAAACTAACAGATTCAAAACTGCAGGATTCCCACAATACAGGACATCAGGGTATCCGAGAGAAAGATCCCATTATTGGTAGTGTAGCAGAAGCCAGAGGCTCCATCCAGACCAATGGCTCACAAGAAATGAGCACTTACAAGATGAATGGACTCTAAAGGGTAAACTGTGTGACTCAGCAAGCCACATTACAGCTTCCATGATGAGATTCTTCTTTGTTTTGTTTTTCCGTTTTTTGTTGTTTGGTTTTTCTTTTAAATTTTGTTTTGTTTTAGGGGAGGTTACATGGGCAGAGGGCAGAAGCAAGGGAATGGGGAGATAAGTATAATCTAGATGCAGGATGTCAAATCCACAGAGAATCAGTAACAGCTGAGAAAAAAAAAAGAAATCTTAATTTTTTTTTCTTCTTCAAGACAGGGTTTCTCCATGTAGTCTGTCCTGTAACTTGCTTTGTAGACAAGGCTGACCTCAAACTCACAGAGCAGTGATCCTGGGTGCTAGGATCAATGGTGTGTACTATCACTGCCTGGCTAAAATCTTGGCAATTTTTAAAAAGGTTTTATTTTAGCCAGGTAGTGGTAGCCCACACCATTAATCACACTCGGGAGGCAGAGGAAGAAGAATCTCTGTGAGTTCAAGACCAGCCTGGTTGACAAGAGCTAGTTCCAAGACAGCCTCAAAAGCCATAGAGAAACCCTGTCTCGAAAAACCATAAAAAAAAAAAAAAAAAAAAAGACTTTATTTTTATTATGTGCACAAATGTGTGTCTGTTCATGAAAGTATGTGGGTGTGCATGGATGCCTTTGGTGGCCAGCAGAGGTGGAAAATCCCCTGGAGATGGAGTTACAGGTAAACTGTACAGGTAACTGGTTGATGTCAGTGCTGGGAACCAAACTCTGGCCCCAGGAAAAACAGCAAACACTTTTAATTGTTGAGATATCTCTTGAGCCCCTGTTTGTATTTGGTTTTATGAGACAGGATTTCACACGGCTCACGCTGGTGTCAAACTCATTGTGTACCTAATGAGGATCTTGAATCCCTGATCCTTGTGCCTCACCTCCTGAGTGAAGGATAGCACACATGCACCACTACATTTGGCTTTTTGTGTTGATGTCGTTGCTTCTTATTTAGTAGTTCAGCCTGGCTTGGAACCCACTATGTAGATGAGGCTAGCCACAAACTTATGAAAATCCTCTAGCCTCAGCTCCCTAAGTGCCAGGATAACAGGCATGAGCCACCACACCAAGATTACAACACTTGACATAGCTGTTTAAGAAAGATCAGATAACACCCCACCCCAAAATAAGTGACATAGACTGAGGAAAACAAAAAACTTGGCTTATGGCAAACCAGTGGCTAGAATCTGGCCTATCTTATACTTAAACTAGAACTGTCTACTTACCATACTGAGTCAAAAAAAAACAACAAAACAAAAACAAACAAACTCAAAGTGAACTCCAGAGGTGACATGACTCAAATAGTAACCACACTACTTAAATCTACACTTCACCAAAATTTGAATATGGTACTTAATAAAGCTATTTCCAAAGAAATCCTTTATTAAAAATTCCATTTTTGCTGGGTGTTGGTGGCGCACGCCTTTAATCCCAGCACTCGGGAGGCAGAGGCAGGCGGATCTCTGTGAGTTCGAGGCCAGCCTGGTCTACAGAGCGAGTTCCAGGACAGCCTCCAAAGCCACAGAGAAACCCTATCTCGAAAAACCAAAAAAAAAAAAAAAAAAAAATTCCTATTTATGCCAGTTATGGTGGCACATGCCTATAATCTCAGCACTAGGAAGGCAGACGCAGATGATCACTACAAGTTCAAGGCTAACTTGAGCTACACCTTGACAACCTCTGAAAATACCCCAAATGTGGGAGCTAGAGACTGCTCAGCAGATAAGATCACTTGTTGCCCCTACAGAGGACCCAGCTTTGTTCCCTACCACTCACATGGTGGTTCACATCCATCTGTAACTCTATTTCCAGATTGTTTGTTTGAGACAGGGTTTCTCTGTGTAGCCCTGGTTATACTGGAACTCACTCTGTAGATCAGTTGGCCTCAACTCTGAGACTTAACTGTTTCTGCCTCCTGAGTGCTGGAATTAAAGGTGTATGTAACCAGGCGGCAATTTCCAAGGGGCCTGATAACTTCTTCTGACCTCCACAGGCACCAAGCATACACATGCTGCACATAAATATATGCAAGCAAAATACATACATAAAAAAATGAAATGAAACAGGTGGTGGCACACGCCTTTAACCCCAGCCCTCTGGAGGCAGAGGCAGGTGGATCTCTGTGAGTTTGAGGCCAGCCTGGTCTACAGAATGAGTTCCAGGATAGGCTCCAAAAGCTACACTGAGAAACCCTGTCTTGAAAAACCAAACAAAAAAGAAAAGAAAAAAAAAAAACCCTAAACAAGATCAGCAAAGGCAGGTGAAGAAGGCACTTGCTGCACAGGCCTGGCAACCTGAGTTCAATCCCTGGAAACCACAGTGGAAACAGAGACTCAAATCAAAGTTGCTCTCTGACCTCCAACACACACTTATACACAAATAATAACGAAGAAAAAGTAAATAAATAAATAAAGCATGAAACCCAAAACAAGACTCTTACCCCTACATTTCTGAGAAAAATCTAAAAACACGAAAGAATGTAGAGAGTACAAAGACAGAGGTTGGGGAGATGGCTCAGCCGGCACAGTGCTAGTTGTGCAATCACAGGACTCTTGAATTCAAGTCCCCGGGACCCCTGTAATGGTTGGGTACTGTAGCTTGCAACTACAACCCTAAGGCTGGCAACTCACTGGCCAGCCAGTCTAGCCTAAAAACACAGACCACTAAGTTCAGTGAGAGACCCTGCCTGGAAAAAAAAAAGGTTGAGAGAAACTGAAAAGACATCCTAACATTAGCCTCTGGCCTCCACATGCACCCACACAGGCAAGCACACTAACACACAGACATAGAGTGCACACACTAACAGAGAAGCATGCAGCTAACACACAAGTGCACAGGACACACATTAACAGTGTACAGCATACTCTCTAAAGCACAAGTAAACCTCACACAGTAACATACAAATATATACAAACACACAGAAATGACAACAATGGGTAATCTTAATAGTACAAAGAGAAAGTGACCATGTCGCAATTTAAGTGCTTAAACACAAGTTGGTGTTTGGGAGATTGTTAACCTGAGGAAAGCAGTGACTGTGAGAGCACAAAATCTTTTCTTACAATTTGGTTGTGAGCTGGGCACCTTGGTGGCGCACGCCTTTAATCCCAGTACTCGGGAGGCAGAGGCAGGCAAATCTCTGTGAGTTCGAGACCAGCCTGGTCTACACTGGTCTACAGAGCTAGTTCCAGGACAGCCTCCAAAACAATACAGAGAAATCCTGTCTTGAAAATCTTTAAAAAAATTTTTTTGGTTGTGAGCCTAGCCTTTAAGAGCTGAGCCATCTCTCCAGTCCTAGAGCACAAAATCTTTAATATGTTCAATTATCTGCAACTTGGCTCTGGAGAGAACATTTGTTCCAATTATAAACCTAGTATATAAGTTGAATACAGCATTCAATTCACAGTGATTCCTACACTGAAATAATAAATGCTATAAATTAAACTAAACTACTTTATTTGGCTTTAGGTAGTGCATTTTAGAGGTCATTATGAAAATACAAAGAGAAGGCCAGAGACAGCTCAGCAGTTAAGAGCACTGGCTGCTCTTCCAAAGGACCGGTGTTCAATTCCCAGTACACACATGGCAGCTCACAACCATCAGTAACTCCCATTTCAAGTGATCCAATACCTTATTTTGACCTCAGTGGGCACCAAACAAGCATGTGATGTACATCAATGCTGTGTGTCTACTGAAATTGGAGCTTGACAATCTGACTACACTGGTTGGCCAGCCTGTAGTCACCCCAGCTGTGGAGCTACAGACTCCTGCTGCTAAGAGGGCTTCCTACATTGGTGCTGACCATCCAAATGCTGTTCCTCATGTTTTCAGAGCAAGCAATCAAACCACTAAGCACCTCCCCAGTCCAAGGGAATCTTGAAGTTTTGTTTTTACAAAAGGAAAGATTAATACAATTAAATATTCCTGTTACCAGATGAGTTCACCATTAAATAAAGAAAAGGAAGAACCTTTAAAAAGTGTTTTTGCACCTGTTCTTCTTATCATTATCCTGTCAGGAGGAAATGTCAGTGACGGACAGAAAAGGGTACTCAGTGTTAAGAGCATGTTTTGGTCTTCCAGAGGACCTGAGCTCAGTTCTCAGCACCCACATCAAGTGGTTTACAACTGCCTGTAACTCCAGAGGCAGAGGAACTCACAACCCTAGCCTCTGCAGGTACACATACACAATGAAAAATAATAAGAAATCTAACCAAGTACAGTGGAACATGCCTTTAGTCCCAGCACTTGGGAAGGAGAAGTAGGTGGATCTCTGTGAGTTCCAGGCCAGCCTGGTCTACACAGTGAGTTCCAGGACAGCTACAGCTACATAATGAGACAATGTCTTGAAAAATGTATATGTATTTTTTTAATCTTTAGGGGGCTGGACAGATGGCTCAGTGGTTAAGAGCACTACTGCTCTTCCAGATATCTAGAGGACTTAAATTTTGGTTCTCAACACCCCACGTCAGATGGCTCACACTGACATCAACTCCAGCTCCAGGGGATCCAATGTCTCTGTGAGCACCTATACTAACATGCACACACACACACACACACACACACACACACACACACACACACACACACACACACACACACACATATATAAATAAATCTTGGAAGGAAGGAGAAAAAGAAAAGGAAGGAAGGAAGGAAGGAAGGAAGGAAGGAAGGAAGGAAGGAAGGAAGGAAGGAAGGAAGGGGGAGAAAAAGAAAAGGAAGGAAAGCTAAGGAGTAGCTGGGTCTTGTGGTGCAAGCCTGTGATCCCAACTATGAGGCTGACTGGGAGTCACTGTCCAAGTCAATCCTGGTCACACAGTTTAAGTAACTTAGTGAGGCTCTGTCTCCAAATTAAAATTTTAAATGAAAGGAAAAGGGTCAAGGTTGCAGCTTAGTGATGCCTAAAGTCCTAAGTTGAACCTCCAGTAACACAAAACCAAACCAAACGAATTTTTTGTTGTTTGTTTTGAACTCCTAGTTTTCCTGCTCCTACCTCCCAAATGCTAGGATTATAGGTGTCACTATACCTAACTGAATTCTCAGGGTTCCTTAATGAAGACAACCGTCTACCTGTCTGAACCCCAACTCCACTTTTTTTGAGACCAGGTCTCTCTGTGCTTTGAAGCCTGTCCTGGAACTCACTCTGTAGACCAGGCTGGCCTGGAACTCACAGAGGTCCACCTGCCTCTGCCTCCAGAATGCTGGCATTAAAGACATATGCCACCTCTGCCACCACCATCCCACTCTTAAGGGGCTGTGGTGGAACATGCCATTAACCCTAGCACTTGTGAGGTAAGTAGATTTCTGTCTGGGAAAAAAAAAGAATGAGAAGAACGACCATACAGATTTCTTGAAACACAGAGAACACACAGGATGAAGCAGGGTGAACAGAACTGGGGAAGAGGGAAATTCAACTTACTTTGGGCGTTCTCTGTCTTGAAGGGATCCCATCAAGTATAGCGATGGCATCTTTGTCTAGTTTCAGCATTGTGTAACACTCAGCCATTTTGTATTTTACTTCAATTTCAGACGGAAGACACTTCAAGATAATAAAAATACCTCTTCAAAATATGACCTCAACAGCATGATAGTTCTTCAAAACTACTAAAACCATCTGTAATCTTATAACCTAGCAGTTCTGCTCCTAGATGTACAATCAAGAAATAAAACAAACAAGCTCACAAAAAAACCTGGACATAACTGGGTAGTGGTGGTGCACACCTTTAATCCTAGCACTCAGAAGGCAGAGGCAGGTGGTAGAACCCTGTGAGTTTGAGGCCAGCCTGGTCTACAGAGTGAGTTCCTACACAGTTAGGGCTACTGACACAGGAAACCTGTCTTGAAAACCTAAAATAAATAAACAAGTTCTCTCTTAATCACCTGGCTCTGAGGAGTAGACGCAGAATTTCCAGTTGAAGGTCGCACTTTTGAAGTTTTACTCAATGCTTTCTTCTGCTGTAAAGCCATGGTATACTTACTCACAGCATTCCGGTACTCCTTATCATGAAAGAGAGAATCTGCATGATACACCAAAAGCTGGTACTTCTGAGATGGGGAAAATAGCTCACTAGAAAACAAAGGAAGCAAATCCTACATGAGTTATTTTGAAAATTAGAAAGAACACCTTTTGTGGGATATTAGTTTAAGATGTATTACATTTGCTTATGCTCTGAATTACTTGTTTAATGATGCAGAGATGTGATGCATTTGTTTAACTCTGTGAAGCTGTGTTATGTTGCCTGTCTAAAACACCTGACTGGCCTAGTAAGAGCTGAATGGCTAATAGCTAGGCAGGAGGGGGATAGGTGGGACTGCCAGGCAGAGAGAATACAAAGGAGGAGAAATCTAGGCTCTAGAGAGAAGCAGCATGAAAAGGAGAAGAGGAGGAAGTCAGAGGCCAGTCTCCCAGCCACACAGCCAACCACGGAGTAAGGAGGAAAGATATATAGAATAAAGATTAAAAAGCCCAGAGGCAAAACATAGTTAAAGAGAAATGGCATAATTTAAGTTAGAGAAGCTGGCTAGAAACAAGCCAAGCTAAGGCTGGGCATTCATAAGTAAGAATAAGACTTTGTACATTTATTTGGGAGCTGGGTGGTGGGCCCCAAATTAAAAAAAAAAAAATCACCTACGAACACCTTGGTGTTTACCTAAGCCTAACAAAATGCCTTGTATGTTAGCTTATAAAAAAGGTAGTATACCTTAAGTGCAAGTGACTAAAGGAGAGGTGCAATATTTGAACACCATGCAAATATGGCCAACACATCTAGTACACTATCTTACTGTATTCTGGTTTCCTACAATTTAGTGTTTTCTTAATATAGACACTAAATAATACTTATAAATCAAATCAAATCAAGAGATGAAGAAAACATGCTTCCCTTCTCTTTTAAAGGCCCTTCCACTCTCTTCCTGCTTTTTGAGACAGTGTCTCACTCTAGCCCAAGTAGCCTTGAATTTATAGCAGTCCTCCTGCTTCTGCCTTGGAAGTAATGGGATTACAGAATGGACCACTATGTCTACTCAACAAGACCTCTCAATCTAGCACTGGTGTATATACAACTATATTGTCTTAGGTTAACTTCATATTTTAAGGCTAATTTTGCCAAAGAGCAGCAACCATGACTTGACCATTACCACAGGCAGAGCCTCTGAACAGGGAATAATTTACCACTTTAAATTCTTTTTAGAGAGCCGGGCGTTGGTGGCGCACGCCTTTAATCCCAGCACTCGGGAGGCAGAGGCAGGTGAATCTCTGTGAGTTCAAGACCAGCGTGGTCTACCGAGCGAGTCCAGGACACAGTCCAAAACAATACAGAGAAACCCTGTCTCGAAAAACCAAAAAAAAAAAATTCTTTTAGAAAAATACTGACCAAAATCAAGCATCTGAACTGAGCATGGTGACATAAGTCTTTAATCCCAGCACTCGAAGGGAGAGGCAGGTGGATCTCTGTGAGTTGGAGGCCAGCCTGCTCTATAGATTGAGATCCAGGGCAGTCAGGACTACACAGAGAAACCCTGTCTTGAAAAAAAAAAAAATCCAAGTACCGGAAAATTTTAAATTCCAAAGAAAAAGCCAGTATGAGAACATAATAGGAAAGCCAAAAGGTCAAGATGAAAAAGGATTAGCCTTAGTAAGTCTATTATCTATATGTATAGGTGCATATGTGTATTCCGTTGCCCATGGAGGCCAGAAAATACTGGATCCCCTAGTAATTACCTGACAGGGGTGCTGGGGACCAAACTCAAGTTTTCTGCAAGAGCACCAAGCATTTTTAACTGTGGAGCCACCTTTCCAGGCCCTAGAATTCTTAATTTTACACACAAAAAGAAAACTTGACAACACTAGAAGCACTATTATTATCATGACTCTCAGGTGTCTACAGATAATGTACGGAAACTAATGTTTCAAACTTTCCTTTGTTTTTTCCAGGCTTCAGATTAAGCCCATGGCTTTACAAAGGCTAGGCAAGCCTTCTATCACAGAATTTTATCCAAAATACCATTTTAACTAGTCCTTATTAGCAAGGTTAAATGCCTCAACACTGCTTTACTTTTTGTCCTGCATAGGGTATCCAACCAAGGTCTCTGCATGCTAGGCAAGCATTCCACCCACAGGTCTATCTGCAACCCTGGTTACCATTCTTCATGTTTATACTTCCAGTCTTACTCCTTCCCAAACTAAGTGGGGTTATACATCTTTCTCTGACATGTAAAGAACAGACTGAGACAAAAAATTCTACAAACAGATACATTAAAAAATTGTAGAAGCCATAAGTGGTTATGCAGGCCTTTAATTCACTCTGCTTCAGGAGGCGGAAGCAGGTAGATTTCTATGAGTTCAAGGCCAGACTGGTCTACATAGCCAGTTCCAGAACAGTTGAGACTATACATCGAGACCCTGTCTCAAATAAATTTAAAAAGGGAGAGATATTTTTTTAAAAACTCCACAACTGCCGGGCGTTGCTGGTGCACACCTGTAATCCCAGCACTCGGGAGGCAGAGGCAGGCGGATCTCTGTGAGTTCGAGACCAGCCTGGTCTACAGATCGAGTTCCATGACAGCCTCCAAAGCCACAGAGAAACCCTGTCTCGAAAAACCAAAAAAAAAAAAAAAAAAAAAACAAACTCCACAACTAGATACCACTGCTAGGTACGGTCATATACTCCTGTAGTCCTAGCATTTTGAAGCAGAGGCAGGATGATTAGGCATTCCAGGAGCTAGATAATCAGTTCAAAATTGGCCTGGGCTATGACCCTGTTTCAAAAAGGGGATTAGAGGTGAACCCACAATTAAGAACATCCGGAGCCGGGCGTTGGTGGCACATGCCTTTAATCCCAGCGCTCGGGAGGCAGAGGCAAGTGGATCTCTGTAAGTTCGAGACCAGCCTGGACTACCAAGCGAGTTCCAGGACAGCCTCCAAAGCCACAGAGAAACCCTGTCTCGAAAAAACCAAAAAAAAAAAAAAAAAAAAAAAAAAAAAAAGAACATCTGGGTTTTAGCAGAGAATCCAAGTCTAATTCCCAGCACACCTATCAGACAGCTTACAACTACCTGCAACTCCAGCTCTGGCCTCCAAAGAATATGATGCCCTCTTCTGGCCTCCGAAGCAACAGGAATATACATGGTGCACAGACACACACATGTGCAGGTGCACACACATAAAAAAGAAATTCCAGTCTATTAGCAGTCATCCCCTAATCCTATCTCCCTTGGCAGGCACTGATCTTTGGTACCTTTTTTTGGGGGGGGGTATTTCTAGACAGAGTTTCTTTGTGGCTTTGGAACCTGTCCTGGAACTATCTCTTGTAGACCAGGCTGGTCTCGAACTCACAGAGATCCCCCTGCCTTGGCCTCCAAGTACTGGGATTAAAGGTGTGCACCACCACTGCCTAGCCTGTGGTACCTGTTTAAGAATACATTTTATTATTATTTATGTGTACTTGTATACCTGTGTACATGCATAGGCACAAAACAAAAAGTCATTTTAAAAAAAGTCAAGTGTAATAGAACGCATCTATAATCCCAGAACTTCATGGTAGAGGCAGGAAAAGCAAGAGTTCAAGGTCAGCCTCAGCTTCACCAAGAACCTGTCTCAAAAAAGCAAAACAAAGCTGGGCATGGTGACTTAAGCCTTTAATCCCCACATTCTGGAAGCAGAGGCAAGTGAATCTCTGAGTTCATGTCTAACCTAGTTTAGCTTCTAGTTTACAGCCAGAGTGACACAGAGAAACTAGAGAGGGGTGGGGAGAAAAAGACAACAGAACATTAAAACAACCGAGAATGAGTAAATAGATGGGCTACTTCCTCGAATTTGAACTTTACCACCCCTTTTCCTTCTCCAGAGGAAACAGGTTTTTCATGTATGACAGAGATACATCACAGACACCTACAAGGCAAATATGTTACAATGTATAAATACTGACCACTCTGTGGGTAGAGCAGTATCCTTTTAATGATTTTTTTTAAAGATTTACTTATTTTATGTATAAGGTGCTCTATCTGCATGTACACCTGCATGCCAGAATTGGGTATCAGATCCGGTTATAGATGTCTGTGAGCCGGTTGCTGGGAATTGAACTCAAGACCTTACACGTGCTAGGTGGGCTCTCCATGTCTGAGTTACATCTCCAACCTCAGGAAAGATATCCAAACCATTCCAACTGCATCTCTCATTCCTTGAGTTTCCCCACATAATTTTATGTAGTGTTTAGCCAACTTGCCCTTTCTGGATTTATTTTGGGTAGTGAAACCTAGGGCCTCAAACATTCTACTTAAGTATTCTACCACTAAACTACATCACCAGTCCTGCGTTTTCTCCTTTTATGATCTTTTCTAATTTATTTATATTTTATGTATGAACATTCTGCATGTACACTCGAATGCCAGAAGGCGGCATCAGATCCTATTATATAGATGGTTGTGAGCCACCATGTAGTTGCTGGGAATTTAACTCAGGTCCCCTGGAAGAGCAGTCAGTGCTCTTAACCTCTGAGTCATCTCTACAGCCAGCCCCCGCATCCCAGTCCTGTTGGAATTTTTTGTTTTTTAACAGTGAGTACACTGTCTATTAGAAAATTTCAAAATATAAAGGATAAAGGCCAGAACTTAAATGCTTCCACTGCTAAGAAACTGACAATCTAACCTAATGAGAAAAAACAAGGGTTAGCTTTAGTTAGTCTAGCAAAATGCTTCAAACAATGCTATATATAGCATCACCAAAACCCAAGACTAAAGATTAGGGCAGAGCCAGGAGGTGGTGGTGCACGTCTTTAATTCCAGCGCTCAGGAGGCAGAGGCAGGTGGGTTTCTGTGAGTTCAAAGCCAGCCTGGTCTACAAAGCAAGTTTCAAGAAAGCCAGAGCAGTTACCCAGAGAAACCCTGTCTCGAAAAACACAAAACAAAGAAGCGACTTGAGCTGCAACCTGAACCTGGAGGCAGTTCTAAAGTGAAGACTGAACAGGAGCCGCAGGTGCCAATGCCTGGAGGTGAGAACCAGCCTGGGCACTGAAGCAGCTGAAAACATAAGCTGGGAGGCTGGCCCGCAGTGAGAGCTCGGGCAGAAGAAGAAATCTGAGAGAGCAAGGAGCTGGATGGCTTGGCGAGCCACGACAAAGGGTGAGCAAGATGGGGAAGTTTTAAGCAGGGTCCAACAAGCACTCGAGCCTAGAACTCAGAACTGTCTCGTGCTTCATCTGAGACTCAGCAAACCCGGCTGGGAATGTCACTCGGTTGGTAGTGCTTGCCTAACACTCGTGGAGTCCCGGGTTCGAGCCCCAGCACCACAAGAACACCGAGCGTGGTGGTGCAAACACCCGCGACCCCAGCTCCTGGGGGACGGAAGCAGGAGGGCGGCGGTAAGTTCAAGATCGTCCTCGGCTAGACAGCTTGTGTGGCAGGCGAGTCGGGGCTACCAAGAGCCCGTTCGTTTCTAAGAGTCACCACGCGGCAGTGGCGTCGGGCCTTCCTAACAGGCTGCACAGGGAACTTTAAAAAAGGGCGCCGCTCGGCGGCCCGCCCAGGGCGCTCTCGGTTCCGCGCGTCTGCCGCGGCGACAAAGCGGCGGCTCCGAGCCCGCGCCGCAACGGGACCTCCGTGTCTGACCCTCGGGGGGACGCTGGGAGGCAGCAGGAGGGCGGCGTGGCTCCGACGGAGCTGGGAGAGGCCCTCGCCGCCCGCGCAGCCTCGGCGGGGCCGCGGCGCCCCTCCACCACCTCAGCCCTGGCGCCCAGACCGCCGCTCCCCGCCTCCACTCACGGGTTGTTATTACTCATGGTCAGCAGCAAGCTGCTGAGGAGCCGCACGTTGGAGTGCAGCCCCGCGGCCGCCATGTCCCGCACATGGTCTATCACGCTCATCCTGCCCGGCGACGGCGCGGCCCCGCAGCAGCCGACAGAACGCCCGCGAGCGGAGCCCGGCCTCACGGAAGGTTCCAAAATGGCGGCGGCACTGGGGTCCTTCGAGCCCAGGCGCGGCTCCACCCCCTTCTCCCCCCCTCACCGAGGATATAGGTAGCTACTGACGAGCCTGCGTGAAAAGAAGCGCCGGTGAGGCGAAGGCGGGGTTTTTTTCCGCCCACATTGCGTCCCCCATCTTAAAGGGTAAACCTTACCGAGGACTGGCAATGCAATAGAAGGCATCCTGAGGAGCGGATGCCTCTGTGAGGCAAAGTAACAACATGCAGGAGCCCATCACAAAGAAGGTAAATATGGCCGTGGTGGAACACTCGACAGTTAAAATTGAATTTTTTTGAATCAGGCGCCCAAGGGCCGACCTTTTACAACTACGCGTGCGCACCAGGTGAAGGTGCCACGCCCCCTCCTCTGGTGGCTTGTGTACCTGTCACTGAGAGTAAGTTCCCTTGGTACAAGGCATGGTTTTAGCAGGTAAGGTGACCCGGTAGATCGGGGGGAGTAAAGGATAGATACAGGAGTGAGCTAGGACCGCTGGTAACCAACAGTTGACGACTTGAGCCTTTACGAATTCCTTATTGTATTGCATGTTCAAAAACCATGACGCTTAAGCTATTCCCTTAAGATTGAGAGACGACTCAGGGGTTAAAACTGCTTGCTCCTCTTTCAGAGGACACGAATTCGGTTCCCAGCAACTTCTTGGCGATCCACGGTCGTCCTGTGGGTCCAGCTCCAGGACATCCGACTCCCTCCCCTGCTTCCATGGGCACTTGCGTGCTTGTGCTGAGCAGACTCTCAGGCACGCACGATGATACCCAAAAACGTTAAAATCAAAACCTAGAATTGTCAGTCTCTCTTTGCCAACGAAGAAACCAAAATTTTAAAATGTTGAAACCGAAGCGGGGAGACCTGAGAGTAAAGGCACTGCCTTTAACGCTGGCCATCTGCTGGACAGTGGTTGCGCACGCCTTTAATCCCAGCACTCGGAGAGGCAGGCGGATCTTTGTGCGTTCGAGGCCAGGCTGGACCGATAGCCTCCGAAACAATACAGAGAAACCCTGTCTCGTAAAAACCAAAAAAACAAAACAAAACAAAACAAAGCGAAACAAAAAAATTGGCCATCTGAGTTCAATCCTGTGTCCAACATGGTTCAAGTTGTCCTCTGATCCACACAGGCACAGAAACACGTACCTCTCAACTCCACAAAGTAAATAAACAAACGCAAATTTTAAACTGAAGCTGTTTGCTTCAATTTGAGATGCGGGACTTTTTTTTCCCCAGCTTTTCAAGACAGAGTTTCTCTGTGAATTTGGAGGCTGTCCTGGAACTCGCTCTGTATACCAGGCTGGTTTCGGACTCACAGAGATCCGCCTGCCTGTGCCTCCCGAATGCTGGGACTAAAGGCAGGTGCCACCAATGCCCGGCTGAGGTGCTAGACTTTTTTTTTAAGGTTTATTAATTTGTGCCGGGCGTTGGTGGCGCACCCCTTTAGTCCCAGCACTTGGGAGGCAGAGACAGGCGGATCTCTGTGAGTTCGAGGCCAGCCTAGTCTACAGAGTGAGTTCCAGGACAGCCTCCAAAACAATACAGAGAAACCCTGTCTCGAAAAACAAAACAAAAAATATATATATATATTTATTGGGCTGGAGAGATGGCTCAGAGGTTAAGAGCACTGACTCCTCTTCCAGGGGTCCTGAGTTCAATACCCAGCAACCACATGGTGGCTCACAACCATCTACAATTCAATCTGGTGTCCTCTTCTGGCATGTAGGCAGAACGCTGTATATGTAATAAATAAATCTTTAAAATATATATATATATATATTTGTTATTGAGGTGTGTGTTTGTGCGCGTGAGTATTCCCATTCAAACGGCCACACCATACAAGCACAAGAATGTGGGTTCTAAGCCAGCATCCACATAAGTAAGGAATAATGAATGGTTCAGGCTTGTGACCCCAGCACTGGGAGGTAGAGGCAGGCTGATCTGTGATTTTGAGGCCAGCCTGGTCTATAGAGTGAGTTCTAGGACAACCAGGACTGTTACACAGAGAAATCCTGCTCAGGGGGAAGGAAAAAAAGTAAATCTAAAATACAAGAAATCTTTTAGAAAACTACTGTTTTGCTTTTTTCTACATTTAGAATATTTCATAATTGAAGCCAAGTCTGGCCAAACGTAGTGTCACATGCCTGTAATCCCAGAGTCAGGAAAATTGCAAGTTCAAGGACAACCTGGGCTACAAAGTGAGTTTCAGGCCAGCCTGGTATATATAGGGAGACTCTCTGTCAAGAACAAAACATGCTAGGCATGGTGATAAATTCCTTTAATCCTAACACTTGGGAGGCAGAAGCAAATGGATCTCTGTGAGTTCTAGGCCAGCCTGGTGTACATAGTAAGTTCCAGGACAGTCAAGGTTACATAGTGAGACCCTATCTCAAAAACAGAATAAAAGCAAACAAACAAAAACATATTCCTAGGTTGTTTTTTTGTTTTGTTTTTTAGGCAGTGTTTCTCGGTGTTGCCTTGGCTGACCTGGAAGTTGCTCTGTAGACCAGGTTGGCCTCCATTTCATGAGACCCACCTGCCCCAGCTTCTTAAGTGTGGGACATTAAAGACTTATACTGCACCACCTGGCATATAATGCATCTTAACAGTGACCAGAAAATGGAAATGAGTATTGTGCAACCATGAAGCGTCAAATGGATACACTCATACAGTGTAACATTCCTGAGGGAAATGGGGAAAAAACTGATCACGAAATACGGAAAACGGCTCTCAAAAATATCATCCTAAAAATAAAATTCCCCTAGGTGAAGGAAGCCAGATGGAAAGTGCTGGCAAACTCCAGCTGCACTTATGTGAAGTATCAAGACACAAACAAACCCAGAGAGCCAGGAAGTCATCAATAACACCGGGCTCTCCTGCCGGGCCTGGCTGCAGGGTATGAGGCCTGTGGGAGCTAAGGAAAGGGAAGAAGCCTGACCTGGACTGAGACAGCGTGGCCAATGAAGTGAGGAGAAAGGTACGAGAGGGTGGTGCTGTGGGAGCCAGAGGAGGGCTAACCCTGGTGAGAACGAGCAATCAGAGAACGCGGTAGTCAAAAGTCAGGGGGAGATCAGAGCGTCGGTTCCCTTGGCAATGGCAGGGTTTTGTTTGTTTTTTTGTTTTTCAAGACAGGGTTTCTCTGTAACTTTGGAGACTGTCCTGGAAATCACTTCATAGACCAGGCTGACCTCTAACTCACAGAGAGCCACCTGCCTCTGCCTCCTGAGTGCTGGGACTAAAGGCGTGCGCCACCAAAGCCCGGCTGGCCATGGCAGGTTTGGTGAGGTGGTGAAGACCAGAGAGCTGGAAACGGATGTGAAACTGTTCAAAGTACGGAGTTCAGCACAGGCTAGCCTACAATGGAGCGGAAGCTGACTATAAACACCTCATCTTCCTACCCCCCACCTCCCCAGGGCTCACAGGCTTGCGCCAAGTTTTCAGGTGGATTGTGGCATAAATGCATGATGGGGTCAGGGAAATTTACCAGGTTCAAGACACAGAGAAGCCTTTTGTAGTCAGAGGACAGCTGCTGGTCATCTTGGTCCACCATGTGGGTCCAGCTGGCTTGAAGTGGCTTTTCGACACCACCCGTCATTAGCCACTGTATTTCTCTCCCATGACACTGTACATTAAGCAGGCTTGCTGCAGAGTGCTGGTCCTCCACTTAGGATGGTTTTGTCCTCTGGGTGACATTTGGTAATGTTTTGTATAAAAAGTTTCAACAAACTTGGAGATCTGTTTGTCAAGGACAAGACCAGGTGGTGCAGGCATATAATCCCAGGACAGCCTCAACTCCAGAATGACATCATGCCAGTCTGGATATCTACATGAAACTCTGTACCATTATTTTTTTTTCTTAAAGCAGTGGCTGTAGGCTAGAGAGATGGCTCAGAGGTTAAGAGCACTGACTGCTCTTCCAGAGGTCCTGAGTTCAATTCCCAGCAACCTCATGGAGGTTTACAACCATCTGTAATGAGATCTGGTACCCTCTTCTGACCCACAGAGGCATACATGCAGGCAGAACACTGTGTACATAATAAATAAATCTTAAAAATAAATAAATAAGGAAAGAAAGAAAGGAAAGGAAAGGTCAGGCTACAAGTTCCCAGCTAGCCAAGGCTACACAGTGAGAGGCTGTCCCAAACCACCACCACCAAAGTACAAAGAGGGCTGGTGTAAGCTGAGTTCCCAGTAAAAAGCCACATCTACATTGACAGTTCTGCAGAGCTGGGCTAGCAGATTGATCAGGTCTCCATGACTGTGGAGAGTTAAAAGGTTCAAGATTCAGAGCCAAAATTATGTTGGGCTTTTTTAAAAACTGTACAGTCTCACAGTGTAACTCTGGCTACCTGGCTAGCTTAGGATTCACTGTGTAGAGCAAGTTAGTGTCAAATTCACAGACATCCACCTGCCTCTGCCTCCTGTGTATGAGATTAAAGGTGTGTGCCAATGCAGTAGCTTTTTATATGTGTGTGATGTGTATATGTGTAAACCCCTGCATGCATGTCTGTGTACCATGTGCTTGCCTGGTGCCTAACGATGCCAGAAAAGGCTGTTGGATCCACCAGAACTGGAATTACAGCCTGTTTGGCACCATTGTGTGGGTGCTGAGAACTGAACCCAGGTCCTCTGCAAAAGCAACCAGTGCTCTTTTTTTTTTTTTTTTTTTTTTTTGGTTTTTCGAGGCAGGGTTTCTCTGTATTGTTTTGGAGGCTTTCCTGTTTTGGAGGCTTTGTAGACCAGGATGGCCTGGAACTCACAGAGATCCGCCTGCCTCTGCCTCCTGAGTGCTGACAACCAGTGCTCTTAACTGTCAAGCTGCCTCTCCCAACCTGAGCCGAGGTAAGTCATGTGACAGCACATGGTGACATGGAGGGAGCCTGCCCACCCGAGGCCATCTCCACAGGCCCAGCAGAACCCCAAGGGCAAACATCTCTCCCAGATGTTTCAGATGTCTTTCCTACATGGGGGAAACCCAACATTGTAACCTGTCCCCAGGGAAACATAGCTTGGCTCCTCTAAATGTCTCTGGCAGGGTTAGTTGTCCCACTGCCTAAAAAATGACAGGGGAATAAATGGCATCACCTTTCCAACCAGTTGGCCCTCTTCTCATGGAAGGGACTGACCAGCAAGGCAGCACTTAGGGTTTTCAGCTGCTCCAAGGGACACCTGTGCAAGGGACAGACAGTAATCAGAGGTAGCTCTAAGATAGGTACAACATGGGGCAGCTTGACCCAGCCAGAGTCCAGTTGCTATGGCCCATGGCCGCTTCCTCCACTCCTACACCATACCCACCATTCCTTACTTCTCAGACTCCAGCTACTTCCTCTTTCCTGACCACATATGTCTCTGGGACCCTAGTCTCCAGTCTGTCAAGTCTATATCGAATGAATAAACCCCAATAGGATCACAAGAGAACTGACTGTGGTGAAATACAATAACTGAGATGCAAAACCCAAACAATGAAACACTCCTGTCTTCCTTTTTCCTTTGAAGCAAGGTCTCATTGTGTAGCTCTCACTAGAGATCTGAATGCCTCTGCCTCCTAAATGCTGAGATTAAAGGTATATGACACCACACCTCCAAAGGGACTTTTTTTTTTTTTGCTTGTGTTTTGAGACAGGGTTTCTGTGTATCCCTGGCTGTCCTGGAACTCACCCTGTAGACCAGGCTGGCCTCGAACTCCCAGAGATCCGCCTGCCTCTGCCTCCTGTGCCACCACAGCCCCCACACATTTACTTTTTATTGCATGTATTTTGTCCGCATGGCCTGTGGAGGTCAGAACAGGTCACCAGAACCACTGGAACCATAGTTAAGGATGATGATGAGCCACAGTGCATGCTAGAACCAAGCCCATGTCCTCTGCAAAAGCAGCAAGTGTTCAGTCTCTCAGACTGCGCATTCTGCTGACCTCAGGTGCACAGACTTCAGTTAAAAGCCCCCGTGAGCTTCTCCTGAGAGTTAAACTGTTGTGTTTTGCTTTTGTTTTTGAGACAGGGTCTAACTATTTGCTCTGGCTGTGGAGACCAGGCTGGCCTTGAACTCAGAGATCCACCTGCCTCCTCAGTGTGGGGATTAAAGGCATGCACCACCACACAGGCTAGGGTTCCACTGGATTTTAGAGTATCAGCACACTGAACTGGAGCAAAGGGGTAACCCATGGGCAATTCATCTCAGCACTGACACAGAGCAGATGTGGCCTGAAAACTACACCCTTCTAATGAAGTGGTCTTCTAACATTTGCAAATGTTAGAAGAAATAATCGAAAGGGCAAACAAGACAGATTGCTTTAGTGTGAGCCTTACAACTCTTTTTGGGCAGAGCACCAACCTGTTATTTTTTATTATTATTATTAAGATCTTCAGTACTAATAGTTGTTGGAAGAAGGAAAAGTTAGAGTGAAGGAATTCACATCAGTCTTGTTCCAGTTTTTCCGTGCACTGTGATCTTTCTTCACCCAATGATAAATGATAGCAATTAGTGTCCTACTAAAATAATGAATCTAAACAGGATGCTTATGAGAAAAGAACAAGGTTACAGACTGGTTATTTATTTCCTACTATAAAAGGGCTGGGAGCTGAACCCAAGGCCTTGTGCATGCTAGCCAAGTGTTCTACCACTGAGCTATACCCCTAAGTGCTACTGCATAGTTTTTTTGAGACAGGGTCTCAAACTGTCCCCAAACTTTTTTGTAGCTAGTGACTGTAACCTTCTGATTCTCCTGCCTCCACCACCTGAGTGCTAGCATTACAGGCAAGTACGGGGAATGAGACAGCAGATGGATGGCTGATTTACTTTCTCATCATTGAGTAGTGAGTGGCTGAATCAAGACTAGGCTGGTTTGAAATTAGATCTCCCTGCCTCTGCCTCGGGACTGCTGGGAGTTCTAGGACAGCCAGGGCTATGCAGAGAAACCCTGTCTCCAAAACCCAAAACAAAGAAAATAAGGCAAAACCATAGATAACCCAAGAACATGACCTTTTTTCTTTCTTTGGTTTTTCGAGACAGGGTTTCTCTGTGGCTTTGGAGGCTGTCCTGGAACTAGCTCTGTAGACCAGGTTGGTCTCGAACTCACAGAGATCCACCTGCCTCTGCCTCCCGAGTGCTGGGATTCAAGGCATGCGCCACCAACGCCCAGCCGACCTTTTTGCTTTAAGACGTGTCTTTTAGTGTACATAAGGTTTCCTTCTCTTTCTTTTCTTTCTTTCTTTCTTTTTTTTTTTTTGACTCTGTGCTTACTCCACAGCTTCTGTCACTAAACCCTTTATCCAGTCCTGGACAGGTCTGTACACAGCCCTGTGCCGGGCTGTGCTAAGAGCGGTATTTAACTAGTCTGTGGCTCAGTGCACATGTGCTACGGAGCACTGAGCTCAGGAATTGAAATTACACACTCAGTCAGGCATGGCGGCACCCACCTTGGATCTCAGCACTGGGAGGTGGAAGCAGGAGTTGTTCACAGTTATCCTTGGCCACCTAGACAGTTTTGGGCCTTCGAATTACTGGAGGCCCAGTTTAAAGAGATAATAAATACATCTACTTATAGAAGGCAAGTGAGGTGGTTCGTGTGTGGGGAGGTTGAGGCAGGACTGCCTCAAGTTCAAGACTGGCCTGGAACTCTATCTCCAAAAGAGAAATTCTAGGGGCTAGAGAGATGGCTCTGTGGTTAAGTGCTCCGGAGACAGAGGCAGACGGATCCCTGAGTTCAAGGCCAGCCTGATCTACAGAGCTAGTTCCTGGACAGACAGTGATACACAAACCCTGTCTGGAAAAACAAAACAGCAACAAAAAAAAATTTACTTTCATCAGTTTCTTTCTCTCTCTCTTTTTTTTTTTTTTTTTTTGGTCTGCCCTACCCTGCTACACAGAGAAACTCTTTCTCAAAAACAAACAAACAAAAACAATGGCTGCTTTTCCAGAGGACCCTGGTTTAGTTCTCAGCACAGTGGCTTACAAGTGTAATTCCAGTTCCAGGGAACCTGATGCCCTCTTCTGGTCTCTTTGGGCACTGCAATGACATCTACATCAATAAGTCTAGCTGGGCATAGTGGTGCACACCTTTAATCCCAGCACTTGGGAGGCAGAGGCAGGCGGATCTCTGTGAGTTCGAGGCCAGCCTGGTCTACAAGAGCTAGTTCCAGGACAGCCTCCAAAGCCACAGAGAAACCCTGTCTTGAAAAAACCAAAAAAAAAAAAAACCCTATGAATAAAATCCACAAAATGTAAGGTTTTGTAAATTACACATCTGGAAAGAATCTAGTGTTCACAATATATAAAGAGCCCTTATCATTCAATAACAAAAATTGAAGTGACTTAAGCCACTTGAAAAATGAAAGCACAAGGCGTAGTAGCCAACCCCTTTAGTCCCAGCACTCTGGAGGCAGAGGCAGGCTGATTTCTGTGACTTTGAGGCCAGCCTGGTCTACAGAGTGAGTTCTAGGACAGCCAGCATTACACAGTGAGACCCTGTCTTGAAATAAGCAAAAAAGAAGAAATGCACAAAGAACTAAACAGTTCTCTGCAAAAGGTGTATTAATGGCCACATGCAAAGCAGCTAACCATCTTAGAGAATTACAAATCAGAAACAGTAAGATTCTACGTCACAGCCACTGGGAGAGCAAAGACAAGGAAACAAATGCTATCAAGATGTGGGGGGAAACAGAGTGGTCACATGTCGCTGTGGGAATGTAAAACAGTGCAACTGTTGTGGAAAAAACAGACAGGCCTTCTCCAGAAGGGTAAACACAGTTCCCGTGTGACTCAGCGGTTCCACTCTGAGGGATATAATAAGCAAGAGGAATGGAAACTTGTGTTCACATTAAAAACATGCACATGAATGTTCTTGGCAACACTGTTTAGTCAGAGCTCCAAAATAGAAACAACACAAATGTCCACTGGATGATGAATGAGTAAACGTAATGTGATCTGCATCAAAATGGAATATTACTCAGCCATAAAAAGGAATGAACTATGCATGGACACAGCACCATGGGTAAAACTGACAACACGGAAGATGCTGTGTTAAGCAAAAGAAGCCAGATATGAAGGGGTAACTTTTGTTTGACTCTACTTACATGAGGTGGGGGAACGACTTAGAAACATGCTAAGTGAAGAATTCAGACTCAAAGGCTGTGTTATCCACTATAAGACTATTACATGAAATATCTAGAATAAACAAAGCTATGGAGACAGAGTACATTAGATTAGATCAGAAGCTGGGGGACAAGAAGACTTGGCACAAAGGAGGTCACTGCTAAAGGCACATCTTTTGGGTGGGATAAAAAGATTGTGGCATTTAGATATAGGTTATGGTTGTACACATATACCGACAACTACCAAACTGTTCATTATTTAAAAGGCTATGATGGGGTTGGCCCAGTGGACACCTGCAATCCCAGTGTAGGGAATCAAGGCAGGAGGGTTTTATTTTTTTCCTGAGACAGGGTTTCTCTGTATAGTCCTGGCTGTCCTGGAACTGGCCTCGAACACAGAGATCTATCTGCCTGCCTCTGTCTCCTGAGTGCTGGGATTAAAAGTATGTGCTACCACTGCCTGGTTGAAGGATTTGGGGTTTAAGACCCACTTTGGATGCCGGGTGTTGGTGGCACACGCCTTTAATCCCAGCACTCGTGAGGCAGAGGCAGGCGGATCTCTGTGAGTTCGAGACCAGCCTGGACTACCAAGCGAGTTCCAGGACAGCCTCCAAAGCCACAGAGAAACCCTGTCTCGAAAAACTAAAAAAAAGACCCACTTTGGAGACACATTGAGTTATGGGTCAGCCTGGAACTACCCAGTGAGACTGTCTCAAAAAGACAAAACAAATCATAAATACACAAACCAGGCCCCCACCCACTCCCTTCCCATAAAAGGTACAGTGTAAGCTTTATCTCAAAAATGTTTTAATTCATTTTATTACATATTAAGTACCAGCCTGAAATTGCCGAAAATTCAGATCACCCAACACCCACCCCCCCAAATTCTTGATCAAGAGCTTTTTCAGCAAAGACACGCTCTCTCCTCGATTCATGATACATTATGAACGGACACAAAGGACTGTGTACAACTCGATGTGTTGCTGCCCAGGGCTCTGCAGGCAGTGTCTGCTCCACTCACTGCCCAGGTCCCGAGAGACTCTTGTTCATGAACTGTCTCTTCACAAAGCAGGTCCACCACTGTCAAAGGCACAAGACAGAACTCAGGGTCAGGGTCAGGGCAACGTCAAGGGCAGACCAAAATTCCAGTCAATTTATGACACCGCATCTAAACTAGCTTGGCATTTGACATTAACTAAAGGTGACCACAGCAGCTTGCATCCACCCACAGGCAGAAAACATTTGGGGGAAAGGTGTGTGAGCCAGACACAGCAGCAGACCCGTATACTGCAGAACCAGAGAGGCCGAGGTAGGGGGAGCTCAGGGAGTCCTCCAGGTAGAAGTGAGCGCTCTTGTGGCAGATTTCAGTGGGTTAAAAGGTAACAGGGCAAAGGGCTAAGGTCCAATCAGAGGACTCACCTTGCTGGGTTTATCATTCTGAGGGTCAAACACTTTCTCACAGAGCCGAAGTCCAGTCTCTTGCCTCAGCTGCTGTAGATATGCCCGCATCACTTCTGAAACAAGGAAATCTGCATGTGAGGAGATACGCCGAACCACTGCCTGTCCAGCTAGACTCCAGCTAGACACTGACCTTAGCAAGGCGTCTGTACACATTCAGACAGCTTAGAGAAAGAAAGGCTGGTCCAGACTGCTCACTCTCTCTGAATGTATGTATGTATTTATGTACGTACGTGTACATGTGTGTGTGCGCATGTGCAGGAACTGGTTCACTCTACTGTGCGGCTCCCAGGAATCAAACTCAGACCATCAGGCTTGGCATCAACCACCTTCATAGGCTGAACCTTCTTGCTGACTCCAAATGGTTTTAAACTACATTCACTTTGGTTCCACAGTCTCTGCACGTTATACTTGTTAGCAAGCTCTTCCTCTTCCGTGAAAGTAAGACAACACATGTGTGCTAAGCGCCCACTGCTGACCTAAGCACCAGTTCAGTGGAGAAGAAGCTGGCTGTGCAACCTTGAGGACGGAGCGTGAATCTTTAGCACTAACATAAAGGTAGGAGGGGCAGGTGGCTGGCCTGTAATCCCAGTCCTTAGGAGGTGGAGTCGGGATTCCTGGAGCAAGCTGGTCAGTTTACACTAGCTGAGTCAGTGAGTTGCAGGGTCTGAGAAAGTGCCTGTCTCAATATGCGATTTGAAGAATGATCAAGGAAGACGCAACACCCACCTCTGGTCTCCACACCCACACGCACACAAGTGCATTCACACCCACACATACTTGCTCGCCTCCACACCATACACAAAAAATGAACACCAATCAAGGCAAGCAAAGGAGTGGGTAGAAAGTGAGGCAGAGCCGGGCGTTGGTGGCGCATGCCTTTAATCCCAGCACTCGGGAGGCAGAGGCAGGTGGATCTCTGTGAGTTCGAGTCCAGCCTGGTCTACAAAGTGAGTTCCAGGGAAGTCTCCAAAGCTACAGAGAAACCCTGTCTCAAAAAACCAAAAAAAAAAAAAAAAAAAAAAAAAAAGAAAAAAAGAAAAAAAAAAAAGAAAAAGAAAAAAAGTGAGGCAGAGCCTTCTGGGGCTGAAGCAGAAGGATCATGAGTTCAAGACCAGCCTGGACTACAGAGAGACCACATCTAAGAAACAATCAAAAAATCAAAAATCAACACTTGAAGTAAGACGGAGGGATGGCTGCAGGCAGGCGCACGCTCGCGCACACACACACACACAGACACAAACACACACCCACACCCTCACCCTCACATGCACAGTCCCATCTTACCATCCTCTTGTTTGTTTGCAGGTTTGGCATAAATGGCATTGAGGGGAAAGCCAGGCTCTCCAGGAATGGGAAAGTTCGTGATTCCTAGCGTGTACATTTCTTTCTCGCCTTGGCTCTTGGAATTGCACTAAAATCAAAGGACACATTTGGTAATTAAAAAGAATAATTCCAAAACTGCAACTCTTTGGTGAAAGCAGCTGCAGGACTGTAACAGTGAGTGCCCTTCTGCAGTGAGTGAACCTGCAGCCCTCTTCAGAACACTGCTTCTAAAAGATAAAACCAGAGAAACTATGACAGTGGAATACAGTAGCTAAAAAACTGAAAACCAAGCTTACCATACAGGCAGACATTTCTCTTCATAAATGCACACAATAATATCTTTTAGTTTCTTTAAGTTTTCTGAGACAATCTTATTATGTAGCCCTGGCTGTCCTGGAACTTGTTATATAGACCAGGCTGGCCTCAAACTAACAGAGATTTGCCTGCCTCTGCCTCCTGAGTCTGGGATTAAAGGTGTGCGTCACCACACTGGGCCCTACTCTTACTAGTTAAATTCTGAAAGTTAGTGATAAGTGCAAACTCATTTCAAAGTCATCTCTCCCTTTTATTTTCCTTTTTTCCTGAAACAGAGTTTCTCTGTGAAACAGTTATAGCTGTCTTAGAATTAGTTCTATAGACCAGCCTGGCCTCGAACTCACAGAGATCCACCTGCCTCTGCCTCCCGAGTGCTGGGATTAAAGGCGTGCGCCACTACTGCCCTGCTCAAAATCATCTCTTTCAAATACATGAGGACTGTGAGCCTTTAAGTGGGGTAGATGCTGACATGTCCCTGACTGCTGTTCACTCCACACCCAATGCAAATGCTCAGCTGTTCTCAGAGGATAAAGGCGACTCCTGTTTCCACATGTCTGACACCTCAAGGCCTCCTGGGTGTCAGGTCCCCACAGGTTGAGGAGACCCTTGGCAGAGAGATCTTGGGCTTGTCCTCGGGTCTTAGCAGCCCTGGGTGGCTGCAAGGGATAGCCTGTCTGTCGTCCTTTGTCCCTCATTACCTTTTGGAGTTTCTTTAGACACTCAGAGATGTAGAGTGTGATGTAGATCAAGGTCCTGTCCGCTTCATTCTGCAAGGGAGAAGGAAACACAACGGCCACGTGAGATGGACACTTGAGAGCATCTCTGCCTTCATGATGCATTGGCAACCTACAGGGCACATGGTCTCCCCAAGCCCGGATGTGTGGCTGGCCTTGGCTCACACAGATCCGCCTGCCTCTGCCTCCTGAGTTCAGGGATTACAGGTGTAATGGTTTAAAAAAAAAAACAAAACATTTTTCCCTTGAGTGTCTCAGAACAGACACATCCCTTCCTTGGCAGTGGAAGAAGTAATTTCACATGTGACAAGTTCCAAGACAGCTCTACAGATCTCCACAAGCCCAACATCTCAGCCTACCAGCAGGAGAATCTAAAGACAGTGACTACTGACCACATGTGGCCTGTACCCCAGGCCCAGTTTTCCAGTTATAGACAGAAAAAAGGTCACCCCCCTCCACGTTTTGTTCTGAGATAGTCTCTCTGCTTCACAGCCCTGACTGACTTCTAACTCCTGGATAATCCTCCAGCCTCTGTCTCCTGGCAAACGAAATGCTACATCCAGCCTGTCCCTGTCACACCTCTCACAAACACAGCACAAGCTGGCTGTTAGCTACAGAAACGCTGCTCAGTGCTGGAGAGAGCCCATATCCTGTTGGATCCTGATACCCGAGTGGAGCAAGCAGAGTTTGAAGTCACACAGTTTACAACACTGTCCGGAACATTCCTTGCCCTTCTTCGTGCCTGGCTCATTGACCACCCGTCTCCCAGGGAGAGAAGGGAGGACGTGGTCCCAGGAAGGGCCAGGTCTTTGTTTCCCTCCCTGCAACCCAGCTGGGTCCAGGACACAGCAGTGCAGTAGACTACCCCTCTGAAATGCCTGGGACCACAAGTCTTCCAGATGCCGCATGGTCTGGATCTGGGAATATCTGCACAGACTTCAGCAGTTAAACAACCTGAATCCAAAACACTCCAAAATCCAATTTGTAGCTTAGGGTTCTGGAACATTTCAGGCTTGTTTGTTTTTTAGAGTAGGGAGGGAGGGCACTGTTTTTATGTTTTTGAAACAATTTCAGCCTGGAACTCACAACAATCCTTTTGCCTCAGTTTCCCAAGTGCAGGAATGACAGCAATTTATTCTCAATGTCCAATCTGAATACATACAAAACAAAACAAAACAAAAACAAAAAAAAAAAAAGGGAGGCAGAGGCAGGAGGATTACCCTAAATTCCAGAGCAGTGTGTCCTATACAACAAATTCCAGCCAGCCATACATAGCAAACCCTGTCTCAAAGCAAATAAACAAGCAACATATGAGACTTTTGACCAGTTATCCATAAACATGGGCCTGGCACCTCCTGGGTGCTCAGTCAATATTAAGTAAACACAGATGCATATAGCCTGAGGCTTGGCGAACTCTGTCAAGGCTGGATAATAAGCTTTTCAGGGTTTGTAGCTAACGAGTCTTTGTTGTGGCTGGCCAACCACTGTTGCGTATGAGAACAGCCACAGCTACACATAATGAAATGGGCATGGCTGTGCTCCAACAGACTTCATTTGCAAAAAGAAGCTAAAAGATAACACAGGGGCTGGGGTGGGAGCTCAGTGGTTGAGAGCAATTGCTTTTTCGGGGGATCTGGGTTTATTCCCAGAACACACAAGGTCGCTATAGCCATTTCTACCCTGAGTTACAAGGGACTCAACTCCCAGGTCCCTCTTCTGGCCCCTATACACACACACACATACACACACACACACACACACACACACACACACACACACACACACACACACACACACACCTCTCCTCCCTCTCCCTCCCTCCCTCCCTCCCCCCCCCTCTCTCTCTCGTTTTTTGTTTTTGACACAGGGTCTCTCTACAGAGCCCTGGCTGTCTTAGAAATCACTATATATCAGGTTGGCCTCCAACTCACACAAACCTACTTGCCTCTGCCTCCCAAGTATGTGTTACTGTGCCCAGCCTAAAATAATATCAACAAGGGCTGGCGAGATGGATCAGAGGTTAAGAGCACTGACTGCTCTTCCAGGGGTCCTGAGTTCAATTCCCAGCAACCACATGGTGGCTCACAACCATCTACAATTCAATCTGGTGTCCTCTTCTGGCATACAGGCAGAACACTGTATGTGTAATAAATAAATAAATCTTTAAAAAAATTTTAAAAAAATCAACAAAACAAAACCCAAAGCATTTCCCATCCATCTTGTTTTCAAATTCTAAAATCACACACATCGTTTCATTTAAACTTCACAGCAACCCTGACTTCAAAGTAGGGTTTCTGTTTTTTGGTTGGTTTTTTTGTTGTTGTTGTTGTTTTTTGTTTTTTTTTGAGACAGGGTTTCTCTGTGTAGTCCTGGAACTCCCTCCGTAGATCAGGCTGGCCTCAAACTCACAGAGCTCCTCCTGCCCTTGCCTCCTGAGTGCTGAGTCTAAAGGTGTGCATCACCACCATCTGGCTCGAGGTAGATATTTATCCTCATCTGCAAACCAAGCATCCCAGCTCTGGAAGTTACCTTAATTTCATAGTTCTTGAAGAAGACATTGGCCTTGAAGTAATAGATGGCTTCATCCACAATATCAGTGTCTTTTGCTGAGTGGGAAACAAGGAAGGCAGAGTTATTACCAAAGGCAAACGCCCACCCACAGAAGCTGTAAGGAGAGGTCTTCAAGCGGGATTATCACAAGATCTGGTGTTGGATGAAGTAAAATGAGGCTGGGCTAGCTGGAGAGAGGGGGGGAGAGGGAGAGGACATGCAGGAGCAGGCTGCTCTTCTAGAGGAGCTGGGTTAGTTCCCGGATATCTAGCGCCCTCTTCTGGCCTCAAAGGGCACCATGCAGCAGGCAAAAAAACAGGTATAAAATAAAAATAAATCTTAAAAAAATAAATAAGACTACTGAAATACAATATTCACCACTATTTCTAGAAACCAATGTGTCTTATTTTTAGTTTTACTATCTCTAAAAAAAATCATGTGCTCATTAGAAAAACAAGTTTAATCAGCTAAAAAAAAATTTACCATCTTAATTCTTATCAGCCAGAACAATTTAGTAACCATTTAAGACCTCAATGCACTTATAGAAATGGGCTGAAACACAGGATAACTCCATTTAAAAAAAAAAAAAAAAAGGACGTGTGTATGTGTGTGTACGCTACTTGAGTGTAAATGCCCACAGGGTCACAAGAGAGTGCCAGATCCTTGGAGCTGCAGTTACAGGTGGTTGTGAGGCCATTGTGGGTGCTGGGACCTGAACTCTGTCCTCTGGAGGAGCAGGAAGTGCTCCTTATCACTGAGCTATGCCTCCAGTCCCAACAGTCTAACAATAGTGCTCTGAAAACGAAAACCGTTTAATATAATTTTATCTGAACCCACATATTGTAGCTTCAGGGGAAGTACTCAAGTTATTTTAGAACATTGGGGTTCAGATAGCTTTCTTTAATACAGCCACATGAGGTAAGCCAGAAGCACTCTGTGACAAACACAGATCTCATTAACAATTTCTTTGGCAATCTTTTCTTCTCTCTTTTTCATTTTGAAAGGACAGACTTTCTGGGTCTGATATCTA